GCCCTGGCGGCCCGAACGACGGCGGTGGCTCACGGCGTTCCTCCGCGCTGGGAGCGGGCGGGCGGGAGGCGCGCGGACGCAGGCAGTTGACAGGAGGAACCGCCCCGCAGCAGCCGCGGCCGCCGCCGAAGGGGCTGGAACTCGAGCGGGCAGGACCTGAGGCGCCCCTCGCCCGGCAACGGCTGCCTCCGAGCGCGGCTCCCTCGGCGCCGCTCCACCTGCAACCTTCCCTCAGGCTTGAGAGGGGCGGAGACGGCCGGGGGTCGCCCCCCTTGGACCGCTTGTGGTAGAAGTTGTTGTTTCAGGAAACTTTATATTAAGTCCGTCTCTCTCTTCCTCTGTCGCCCCCTCCCCAAAGAGCCTGAGCTACCGCCGCGGCGCGGGGAGGAAGGGGGAAGCAGAGACTCTCCGGCAGCGACAAGGAGCGACTGACTGACCCCGGACGGAGATGGGGCGAGGGCAGGAAGTGACAAGCTCACCGAGTGGGTGGGGGGAGTGTGGCCGGCACGCCTGGTAGCGCCGCGCGCATGCGCCCAGCTGCTTACCCCCCCCCCCGGCCTGTGAGGAGAGGAGGCGTCGCGGCAGGAGAGGCCAGGGACCGGGGGCCTCCAGTCGACCGCTGGGGAGCCGAGCCCCGGGGTGCGCGCGCGGAGAGGTGTGAGGGCTTCTGCGGCGTTGCGTCCTGGAGACTTGCTGCTCAGCAACTAAACTGTTCCTCTGGCTGTTCTGGGGGTGGTACTGCACCTCGCTGGAGGATTGGAGAAGCGCTGTGGGGAGAGGCTGTGCCAGTTTGTAAGCCCTTAGCAGTGGTCATTTCAAAAAGGTGCATTGATATATGGTGAAAGGAGAACGTTTTCCAAGTTTTTTATCCGGCCCTTGGGAGGAAAAGTGTAGACCTCTGTGTATTCAAGTAGCGCTATTTTTGAAACCTGAAAGTGAACCTTGGTCACGCGGGCGGCACGCACTTTCCCTCCTCTTGGTCTGGCTTGGAAAATCCGCGAAGATCGCAGGTGTCTGTCAAACCCTGCGATCCACGCGCCTCTAGTGCGGCGCCGGGAGCCACCTCCCCGCCTTCTCCCTCGCTCGCTGGACGGAATTCTTAATCCTGGCAACCCGAAGCACGTGTGCCGACTGTCGGTCCGGACATTTGAAGGAAAAACGCTGTTTTCTGTGTTTACCTGCGCCTAGATTCACTGAAAACTGCGGCGGTAGTCCAACTTAAGCTGCCAGTTTGTGGGTCCTCGTGGTTTCGTTGAGTAGCTAGGCTCTGTATTTTGGAAGAGAAAAACTGAGTGCCTGGAACCCATTTTCGAAATTCGAAGGAAAGTTTGTAGTAGGTTCAATAAGCTGATAAATCTGTTATTATTATAAAAATATTGAATGGCCCTTTTGCATAGGCCTTGAGGATTGTAGCAGCTTGATTATGGGACTGACAGGAAAGGGATAGAAAAATTATCAACTTTTTAAAAAATTCCACGTGCGGTACATTCTACACACACAGTAACCAGTCACATAAGTAAAATGTGTGATAGTTTTTATCTGCTCCCTTGTCAAGAAGCTTCATCCAACATCAAACTAAAATATAATGCTGCTTGTTATGCACCCAATACAAATCACATTTTGTTTAATATTTAACTGTACATGATGCTTAAGCAAAAAAAAAATTTTGTTTTTGTAATGTGACACTTCAGCAGTGGGTTGGTTTGGGGAGTGATTAATATTTTCTTTATGCTTGTATACTTTTTGAAATTTCTGAATTAAACATAAAATTTATAAGCAGAAAAAATAAACATTAATTTTAAAAGTCAAGGCTGTAATGTGAAAATTACAGAATAATATTGTACAAAGGTGAATATACAGTATGAATGCCACTCAAAAAATAGAGTGAAAAAGGACTGAAAGGAAACATACCAAAATATTAACAGTGGAGATCTTTGTGTGGTAAAATTTGAAGCGAAATGTTTTCTTCGTTTTTGGAACCTCTTTCCAAGTTTTATATAATAGCATATTTATCACAGGTAAAGATGAATGTACAGTTATAAATTTTCATAAACCTGAAAAGATTGCTTCAGGTATATGAGAGTTATGTTTGCTTACAAGATGTGAGTAAAATTTCTTTAGAAATCTTTTGTGAGTAAATGCAGTTTTATGCTCCAAAGTGGCCATTACATGAGGGTCCTCAAGTTGCTTGCTAAAATAAAACATTTTAGACAATCTTTGAAAAATTAGAGACAAGATTAGACTGTGCATGTGGGAAAAAATAGTGTACATTGAATGATAGAATTTTAAAGCTGAAAAGAAACCGTGTATGTTATCTAGAAAACCTTATTTTGTAGATGAGGAAATCGAGACCCAGAGAAGTTAAGTGATTTACCCAAGGTCAGTCAGAAGCAGAATTGGGTCCAGGTCCAGATTACTACCTACTATAACAACAATGGAGCCCTGGTGGCACAGTGGTTAAGAGCTGCTAACCAAAAGGTTGGCAGTTTGAATCTACCAGCTACCCCTTGGAAACCCTATGGGGCAGTTCTACTCTGTCCTTTAGGGTCACTATGAGTTGGAATTGACTCGACGGCAACAGGTTTTTTTAATACTACTACCAATGTCTGATATGTATTGGGTAGTTAATATGTTTTAAACTCAGGTATTAAATCACTTAATCCTATCAATCCAAAAAAGTTTTTTATCCTCTCACTTTACAGATGGGAAAACTGAGGCAAAGAGAGGTTAGATAACTCATCAAGGGTACAGCTGGTACATAGCCAAGAGTCAGCATTTGACATAAGCAGTTGGTTCTGGAACTATTAGCTATTACGCTGTATTTCCTGCACTCTTTTCCTTACACTATACCGTAGCTGTTTTGGATCTGCATTTTCACATTATAAGCAAAAGATGAGCCAGTAGATCCTGCCAGTTGACAAAGGTATTAAAATGCTATGTACAAGTTCATGAAGTAGAAATGGAGCTGCTACACTACAAAAATTTAATTGAAAATTCACAGAATTCTAGAGATTAATGAGTCTTTGGACATCATCTAGAATTGCCCTGCCTCTTAAAAACACGACACACAAACCATCCCAGAAAATCATCTGCCTTTCCTTTCACCACAGCAACCTAAACAATGCATTATAACAGCATTTTTGATCCTTAAAGTCTGAAAGTACACCCTCATGATTAACCTAAGTTCCTTTTACAGTTTAAAATCATTTTCTGTTATCTTCAAGGTGGGGGAACACTACCATATCTAAATATGGATGGATGCATGGATGGGTGGATGGATGGACAGACATTACTGCTGCATAACAAACCACCCCAAAATCAACGGTGCTCTCAGTTCTGTAGGTCAGTGATTTGGGCTGGCCTGCCTGGGTCACTCATGCAGCTATTGCCAGTCATCTATCTGATGGCTCAACCTGTGGCTTACTCACATGGCTGGCAGTTGGTGTTGACTGTTGGCTGGACCTGTCTCTCCTTGTAGCCTTTCATCCTCAAGGTATCTAGCCTGAGCTTTTTCACATGGTAGCAGCATGGCAAGAGGGTAGAGAGTGGAAGCCGCAAGATCTCTTGAGGCCCTACCCTCGTAAGTTGTATGATCTTACTTCACCGCATTCTCTTAGTCAGAGCATTTCAAAGGCCAGCACAGATGCCTTTTAAGGAGTGAGATACACTCCCGCTCTTGATGGGAGGATCTGCAAAGTCACATTGCAAAGGAGTATGCTTACATAGGAATGGAAGGAATTATTATGACTCTCTTTGCATGCAGTCTATCATAATATATAATTATTTGAAGAATGGTACTAGCTAATTAATCCTGCTGGTTTATTTATTTATTAATGCTAGGTGAGGTCTTTAAGACCAGCAAAACAGGGAAACACTAGTCAAACCTATTTTTCAACCCAATCAAACAGGTCAATTTGGTGGCCTTACATAGATAAACTTTGGTGACTCTTTAACTTTCCTCATGGGGCCTGTTTTTCTTATCATTTTGTTGCTTTTTAAAGATCCATTCTTGATTTCCCATCTGCTGTAGACAGAGCCTACTACTTAAGCAGCATAAAAAGCTAACATCAGATAGAAGTAATTCGAGTTACTATGTACTGTGGTCCAGATTTTGCTAGCTTTGATTATGATATGCCATTTTACAACAAAATTAAATCCACAATTATGTACCAAATCAAATTATGGGCCAAAATAGGGGCTAAGTATTTAGAAAAGGTCATGTATTTGTGGATAAATTGATTTACAAGGACAAATATAAAACTGTTGTTCTATTATCTAGAACTTAACACCAAAGTATTGTGCAAGCAGCATAAGATGGAAAAAGAAGATATTGCTTTCCCTATAATGCTTATTTTAAGGAGGGTAGGGAGTAAGCTGTAACTAGGTTGCTGCCCTGGACATAAGTTGCCTACTGGGAAGCCCCTGACATGCCTTGTATCTTCCATTTCCAGTGCTAAAGCACACTTAGGTCCTAAGGATACATGCACCATGCTGCTTTGTAGGTGCCAAACCATACCTACAGGGCTACTGTTTAAATTCGTGTCCGAAAGCATTTAAATGAATTCCA